TCACTAAAAACTTGCTGCAAAAAGAATAAATAAAATAGGTGAAATGCAAAAGTTGGCAACTTAAAATTAAAGTCACCTGCGCTGGTTCCCAAACTATATACACAATTGTCCCAAACCCCAGCCCCCTGGAAAAGTTTACGAGTGGGAGGAGGAGGGGGTGGGAATGGGAATGGTATTGGTCCCTTTTGTTTCAATTCACGGCAATTGGAAGTCAGCTAGCTCATCAGGCATCAGGTATAATTTGGCCGGGGACTATTTCATTTTACGGCCAAAGTGGCGCATTTGCATAAAGTTTTATTTTCTTTGACCCGCACTTGGGGATTTCCATTCGCAGCCATCGCCATCGCCATCGTCATCGGAGTCGTCGCCAATTTCCATTTCATGTTTTTCCTTTGTATTTGCTTGCTGCTACTTTGTCTACAGCTTTGTCGCCGCTCGTCTATGAAGTGATTTCTTTCTTGCTATACTCTGTTGGCGCAGGTGGAAAGGGGATATTGGTTTGAGGCAGTCTCCGTCATGCTGACTGTCCATTTCTTTTCATCTCAGCTAGATAATTGAAGCTTTAAAATTAGATTCGTGCAACAAAGTTGGGGAGTTACGAAATTGATAACATCGATAACTGCTTATCGACCAGACCTCACCAAATTCCAATAGATGTCGATCTTATACATTCCACAATTACTCCCCCATAATAAGTCCTATATCCTATATCTCCCTCAATTTTGGAGCTAATCGTTGTAAAAAGTCTTTAGATTGGAAATTGATAAGAGCGATAAATGGAAATCGATTAAACTTCATATCTTCCACAGTTTTAAAGTTAGAGGCAACAAATTGTGATGTTTCTATATATGATAGAAAAAATGATTAATACCCCCAAGAAATTTCTTTGTCAACTGTTATCAGTTTGTATTACACTTTTATTTATTTAATGTCAACTAAAGTCAGTCGACTAAAAAAAATAACTAAAAATATAAGATATTTGTAAGACATTTCCAGAGTATTCCTCAGTCGTTTACCCCCACTGCAACTTGCTCACTTATTTTTTCTATTTCTCTTTATGTAGATATTGAAATTCAATATCAACTGGCTGGGTCAGCTATAGCTTTCTCCCTCTCCCACTCTCTTTGTATTCCTCTCTCTCTCTCTCTTCAAGCAGTGGCCATATCCATGTCGTGGCTTGAAATAATGCTGTTCTGCATGCTAATACCGTTACAACTGTTTCCAGTTACGCACACACACCGTCACACACACACATCATTCGCCACACTCACACCCACACACCAACACACCCACACACCCACACACACACGCGCACACCAATGAAAGGTAATTTCAAAATCAAACACTCACCAAAAACAAAAATGATACATGGGGGGAGGTAAGTCTATTCAAGTGCAAGAGGGGTAGCTGAAGGGGGGTAGTGGAAGCCATCGCTTTGCTGTCGCGTCTCAACAGTAAATCCTTTCAATTGCTGCAATTTACAGGATAAATAGGATCAAAATCGAATTTAAATGGCAAACAAATTTTTGTCGTGATTTTGATTTTGTTGACAGAACTTTTCACTTATGTGTGCAAAATAAGCAGATTATGTGAAAACGTCGCTGAGGATAAGCTAAACAAGGGTTGCGCCTTGTATATTGAACACCTATAGCACTCACACCCCACACGCACACACACTCATCACACACACACTCACGCACACCCCACAAATAAAACCAGCTATTTGCATATATAAATAACATTTGTGAGCATTTATTTTTTATTTTACTTTTATATATATTTTAATTAAATGCTCACAGTTATCAGTTCAAGGAGCACGCAGAAAACTATCCGAGAAACCAAAACCAAAACCAATACTAATAATATAAATGTATAAATGTGAAAAGACTCGATTTTATTTGGTTTCTGTGCCTCAAAGAAAGTTTGGGGACTTGGGCACAAAAGGGCACGCAAAAGTTTGGGGCGCCAACTTTTCACGCGAGTCCTTGGAAGCTCCTCCTGCAGACTGCAGACAAACATAAACAAGATTAGTTTCACATATGCAAGGGAGAGAGGGAAGGTGCTGCTGGGAGGGGGTGTGGGGCCGAATAACTTGGTTTTCTTAGAGTTGAGCTGTGAGGCAGTTATTACTTTGATTATGTTTATTTTAGTCATGAATATCCTAATTCCATTTTCATGTGCACTTCTCGTTCATTTAATAAACTCCCCCCTCTCTTCTCCTCTCCCTCTCTTTCTCTCTCTCTCTCTCTCTCTCTCTCTCTTATTCTCCATCTCTCTCTTTCTCTCTCTCGTACAGACGAAGCGCGAAATTATTTTCACTGAATTTTTGCTCCTTGCGCAACTTTTGTGTGATTAACCAAGTGAAAAAACATGAGATTAGGCAAAACTATTCACAACTTCATTAGCATCGTCATAGGAATTATTATGGCATAATTTTATGGTGGTAAGGTGAGGTGAGAGGTGGTTCTTATAGCATATATACTCCTAAGACTTAAGATAAGCATAAATTATGTATAAATGTAACTTTTAGCTTCTTCTTTTGTGCGCACAACTTTTAATTCAAAGATAATTATTTATTTTCATAAAAATAGTATTAACCATTTTACTATTGCACTTCAAGTTTGAATCCCAGTTTTGTTGGGTTAGATTAATTTTAAGATTTTAATGCAGCTTGGTCATCTGAAGAGTTGTAGATCTTGTTGCTTAAGATCAGAAATTATAATTTAAGCCTAATAATTTACAGTATACTAAATTATAATTAAAAGTGCAGATAAGGCTAAATGCATTTACTTTTCTCTGGAGTAGACTACACCTCCAACCTTACCCCAGTTAATAATTGTAGCTCTTTCCAACACTTTTTCTAGCCTTATTTAATCTTATGACAGTTAACAACTCTAATTTCTTTTCACATTACTCAGCACTTTCAATAATGGAAATAATTTGAGTTAAATAAGCGAAATCAACTAAAATTGTTTTGTACTTCGACTAAATATCTGAGATTTAGTATGTGGGAACAATAAGTGGACCTTGATGAAGTTAAATAATTACATTATTCTCTGCTAGAATTATATGTATTATAGAATCAATTCAAATGTGCACTATAATTTTATTATGGCTTACCTATTTTCAGTAGACCACTTAATTGTTTCTAAACTAGCATCATTAATTAATTCATTTAATAAATCCACAAAACAAAGGAAACACAAGACAAATACTTGCGACCAGACCGTCTAATGCCCATAGCTAATCGCCGCCTAATTATGCTCATTATCTGAATTATTTTTGGTATTTTTCATTTTTCGCAAAAACAAAGTGCGCTTTTGATTTGAAATGATTGCCTGCAATTGGCCCGATTAAAATCGGGGGCTGCATACGAAAAGAAATATAAATGCGTAATTCAAATGGCCAAGACTGCAATCCACAAGTGCATCTGCCAATTTGGCGCAACTTGGCGGTGCTCCAACAACAGAAGGGGCAAGGGGGAGATGGGGCAGCTGGGGCAGCCACTGAAGTCAGAGGCAGGCGGACGTGCGTCTTAAGTGCTTTAATTATGTCCACGTCCACTTTAAACCAAATATTGCAAGTTTCCGAATAACGCAAATCAGAGAAGCTAATACATGCCTAGATATTTTGATGTATATATCTATGCATATATATCTGCATGTATCTGGCAACACCATCTCCTGCCAGCTTCGAGGCGGGCAATTAACAGGAGAGCTGGCAGACCACACTCAGAAAATAAATTGCCCTGAAATTTCAGAAAATTGCTCTCTAATGAAAAACACCTCGAAATCTGGCAAAATGTTCTGTTTATTAGAAAAACACAAACAAATATTTCTTCAAGTTGAAAGGGCTGGTTTACATTTTTCTTAGCAATATTATTGGTAATGTGAAGTCTTAAAATATAATTTATGTAATTAAAAAGGTGATGAACAAATTTAGATTTAAACACACTGAAAACAATATACAACATTTGAATTCTTAGCAAAACAAACCTGCAACTTAACAAAAAGTTGTTGCTTTAAAAAAGGCGCAAAACTTGCCTGTTAGTAGTACACATTTTGAATAATACAGTGAGCTATCCTTGGACGCAATTTTTTTCTGAGTGTAGCGTTGCTTTAAATAAAGCGTAACAATTTATGAAATTTTAATTTCTTACACTTAATAACACGGCGAGTTATGGCGTGCAAAATCTCGCTATGCTCGTCTATAGAGACATCAACGTGCCTTGCCAAGTTCCCTGCTGCCCTGTGTGTGTATGCGAGTGTATGTGTGTGCTGCAACTTGTGTGGCATGGCAGCAGACGGTGAGCATAATTAGAAAACGGTGCGCCAGCTATAAGTTGTCTAAATTTGGATTCACATTCCCAGTCGGATTTATTGCATTTGTGTGATGTGTGAATTAGCCAAACCCATACGGAATACACTCAGAAAAAAAGTGATATGAGTAACTTCATAACTTCTTAAGAGTCACCTTAATGTTAAAAAGTTTAGTCTTAAAAGGCAAGCTTTTCCAAATTATTTTGAAGTGTTAGAATTTGATTAATTATAGTTTTCACTTATACTTTTAGGAATATTTTTTATTAATTGAAAAATGAAATCGAAATCGGAATCGAAAAACAATATTTAAAGATTCCAGCTATCAAACAAATTTAGATAGTTTGAAAATTAATATAATTTAACATATTTAATTACTTCTGAATTTTTAATATTTTTTCTAAATGTAAAACCTTTATTTGTAGGAAATAAATTGTAAAATTAGGAAAGCTTTTTTAAATTAAATTATATCAATTATCAAAAAATATAAAACTTTTCTAGAAAGTTTGAAAGGCCCGTCCTCCAAAATACTCAAATAATGATAGTCCAGTATTTTTTTTGGCAATTCATTGCTTTAAAATTGAAAACGTATCTAAAAAACAGTAAAAGGGTAGTTCTAATTTTAATAATTTTTTTTTCATATATATGGAAACTATTTCTAAGCACTATAGAATTTTGCCATTTTTCAAGACGATTTGCTTTTTTTTTCCAGTGCACACTGCGCACTCATTTAATAATCTGATGTATAAATAATTAATTTAATTTCAAATGTCCGCATCTGGATTATCGGTACCCTCTTCGTGGCGACTCTGCGGCAGCGATGCATTCGAACTGGACTCCGATTGGGCATCCGTCTCATCGAGCAGTTGATCGAGGAGCAGCTGCTGCTGGACCTGAAACTTGGCCTGGAGACGCTGCTGTTCCGCTGCCTGCTGCGCGACGAGCAACTGGAAAAGTGGTCGCTGCTCCTGTTCCATGTCCTTGAAGAGGAGCTTCTGCTCCACGCCGCTGCTGAGCGTGGCAGCCGCCACCTTCTTCTTGCGCTGTGTGGCACGCGGATCATAGCTGAGCCGCCGCTGGGTACAGCTCATCCTGGAGCTGGAGCGCTCCGCCTGAGCATGGGAATGGGCATGTGCCGCCGAGCTGTAGCTGAGCTGTGATTTCGATTTTCTGGATTTGCTGCCACTCGGCTTGGGGAGCGAGAGTTGCTCGGTGTTTGAGTGTATTTGCTTTATGTGTATCTTGCTGCTGGGGCAGATTAGGGCTGTGTTTGGTTTGGTGCTTGCTACACGATTTGGTGTCGTCAACTTGTAGCCAAGTGGATAGGAGTGATAACGTTTCCACAGCTGCGAGTGCTGCCACTCCTCAGCCTGCCCATCATGAGCAACCTTTGGCGATTGTAGCAACGGACTCGTTGAGGCACGTTGCAACAACTCCTGCTCGCTTCTCTTTGATTCCCGCTTGAGTGGAGATCGCTCCAAGCGCCTTGTAAACTGTGGCAGGGCCTCTTTAGTCACCGCATACTGTGGCTGCAGCTGTGGACAGAGCCAACCCACTGCCTGGATTAGGCTTGTCTTTGTGTACTTGATGATGGCATTGCATCGATTGTCGTAGATCAGCGTCTCCGAGAACTGCAACTTGTACTTCTTTGTCTTCGCCTCCGTATTGGTGCTGGCATCCACAAATTGCGCCCGCTGGAACGGCTTGAGGCTCCTCGGCAACCTCATGGACAGGTGTGGCACTGGCTGCCGCTCAATGGCCATGGCGGCCTGGCGATACTTCTGCATCTCCACACGACGCTCAGGGGTCATCTGAAGAGATAAAGGCATAATTATAAATATAGATATAGATATAGATATAGATATAGATATAGATATAGATATAGATATAGATATAGATATAGATATAGATATAGATATAGATATAGATATAGATATATGTATAGATATAGATATAGATATAGATATAGATATAGATATAGATATAGATATAGATATAGATATAGATATAGATATAGATATAGATATAGATATAGATATAGATATAGATATAGCAATGAATGATCATTGAATTTTTTAAAGTTACTACTTCTTAGAAAATTAATTAATAATTGCAAATTATTTCTAAAAAATTAAAAGAAAATCATTTAGTTGGGTTTTGTCGACTTATGCCGTTCTAATTTTTAGAAACATTTTTTTAATTATTTAAAAATATATAAAAATTTGTAAAAACAAGAAAAAGTACGTAGTTCTTAAAACGCTTCTTTAAAATGCAGTGCTATTTTTTGTTAAGTGTAAGCATTTTATCAGCGACTTACCAAAGGTGGCAAAATGCATTTGCCATTTATGGTGAAGATGGATTTATAACCATCGTTCCTCTCCTGTTGCTGGTGCTGCTGCTGATCCACTTCCGCCCACTGTTGATCAATCTCGTCGGCCATTTTGAGCATATAATCCATAATGGAAGGAGTTCACTTGCCAATTAGTTTGAGAGCAATAAATTTCTTGATTTTTGGTCAATTTTTTTTGTTGTTTTCTGCTAACAATTCTCAGAATGACAAACACAAATCGACTTTGTATAAAAGAAGCAAAGAAAATAAAATGACAGGAAATTCCTGTGCCAACTACGAATTCAATTTGTATGCCAGGCACACATGCGAGTACACACTGTACTCTGCCACGGGTTGACAAATGTGCGGCTCGGCGAAGCGTGCCACAAGGTATGAGGCACATGGGGAAGCCCTGGTCCAGTCCACTGATGCGTTGCAACAAACACAAATAAAGTCCACTCCATTACCGGCAAAAGTGTCTCGAGTCCGGAGTCCTGTGTCCCGTTTCCCGTGTCCTTTGAGACGGCGCAAACTTGTGTGCACTTCCGACCCAAAAAAAAGCAAAAGAAACGTTATATGTCGGAAATTTGTCTTGCGGGTTTGAGTGCTTCTTGTAGGTGTGTGATTTGTTTTTTAAATTTTCAACAGTCCTGGAAATAACATGCTTGATTCGGGAGTGCTCGACGGGAAGATACTGCTTAAACTTGAAGAGATGAGATTGTGGCAGGGATGAGCGTGTCAGCTAACTGGAATAAAATTAATTAACTTAAGATGATATTCTGTAAATATACATATATTTAAAAATGTATTGAAGATCGTAGTTGGGCTCAGCAATATCAGCCAAAACAGACATGAAATATGTTGATCTAAAGAGATATAGTGTGTTTGTATAACTTGAACGCATAACTACCCATTTCAGAATTTGATATCGCTTTATTCCATATATCCGTTTATAAAATATTATATCCATTGTTTTTGCTCAAGAGCATTTTCATGTCGGAGAACTGAGAACGAGAACTAATATTCAAAATTTAGGGTTTCTATCTAATATTGTCTCCGAGATGGTCCTGTTAATAAATGGACTGTTTTTAAATATCATATATCTGGGCATATTATGTATCAATTAGAATATAGCTTTAAAATTGTGGTTTCGCCATCGGAAATCGATTAAATAATAATAATATTAATCTACGTAGGCTATAAGAGTACCTATATTTCAAATCTTAAGTTTCTGGCTCATGCAGTCTGTCTGCCGATGCTGATCAGGAATATATAGCCCTTAAGGTTTCACAGTTGCTTCCCTCTGCTTGTTACATAATTGTACTTAACTTCATCAAACCCACTTGGCAATTTTTAATGGGTTCAGGGTATAAAAAATGTGTTGCATGGCAAAGTGAGGTATTGGCCAATTTGTCGCATTGTTCAGGACTTGCTATGTGTGAGTGCGGGGGGTGGGTGTGAGCCAGTGTGTATTTTGGCAATGGAGTCACGTAGCATTTCACTTGCATATTTTGGCCAATGACATGCGACAATTTTCCACTAAATTTGGCATGTCAAACATATTTTGCTTGCTTACTCCTCGCTGGCTCTTTGTAAAAAATATAACTTAAATTAATGCATTAACAAGTAGAGATAAGGCAGGAGGGGGTAAGCTGGGGGTGGCCAAGGGGGAGAGGGAGATTAGGTTATATCAGGTAATAAACGCTCGAGCTCATTGTCATTAAGTTTTGCGTGCCGAATGTCGGCGAAAGTTTTTGCGCCTGAGCAATTTGCCACAAGTGGCAATTCGGGAGCGTGCCAAGTGCCACCGATAACAGCTAACGGTAACAGCTTCCTTCAGACAGGGCTGGGCTGCAAAGGGGGGTGAGTTGGGTTGGGTTGGGTTGGGGTGTGCTCTGAGCGCCAACCACAAAAGGTATTTATCTCATTGTGCAGATTAAGTGTTGTGTCTTCAAATTAGGTGAGTGCCGCTGCGTGAGACTGACGAAGGCGGTGCGAGTTGAGGGGATAAGGGAACGAGGGATGAAGGTATGGTGGGGAGGGGTGGTGCTGTGCACCCCTCCATGAAAAAGCGTTGCCAACTCAATCAGCGTACGTGCCCAGGAAGCAGTTGTTAAAATGAACTTGAACTTCTGTTGAGGTGTGTTTTTAAAAAAGACTTCATTGTTATGGAAATTTGACATCATTGTTTTTCCTTACTTAATCTGTCTTATGTAATCTTGAGATCTATGCTTCAGTTGTTAACTGGTAAGAAGGAAGGCATATTTAATATATGATAACAGCTGACTAACTGACTGGGAACTGCTTTGTATAAGAAGTTTGGATATATCATCCAGTTTATAGTTATTGCCAAACATGTAATTAGGGCTATCATACATCATACAGAACTCGAAACCAGACAGGTATATCTGTCAAAATTCACTAAAAGAACTGAGGACTACACTGACAAATAGACAGACAGACAGACATTCAAGCATGACTACATCTGAATAATATTTAAGTAATGGGTATTTAAGTGATATTTGTCCATAACTGACTATAAATAGCCAATTTATTCCTACTTTACCTTAATCAATATTTCCAGATGACAAAGAAAATGTGATTTCAGCAGAATCGTTGATAACTGTAATTTATAGGTAAACATATCTATGATGTAGCTTGATAGCTATTCCGATATGCACTTGATAAGGTTCAGTTCTCTCTCTCTCTATATATATGTATATATATATGAATATATGTCTAGCTAGCTAGCTGCTCATTGTCAGACTGAGAGCTCGCGGTTCCAGTTCATAAATTCGTGGAATTATGAGCCGTGACGTTGCCTGCCACGTTGCCCGAGCGGAAGTGTGTCCATTGCTGTCGCACTCGGTGCACGTAGCACGTAGCACACAGCAAATGGTGGCCAAAAGTGGCCAACGGAGCCACCTTTCCAGTTGTTGGCCAACAGGTAATAACGGTTGCACGATTGGTTAGCCTGACAGTTTTTAGAATTTACAACGTTTGCAAATGGCAAATGGCAACTGGCAACTGGCAACTGGCAAAGCCAGACAGTTTTCCCTTTTTCCCCAAATCCCCTTCTTGCTGCCAGTCCATTATGCAATATGTATCATTTTGAGCTTTATTACAGCTGCAAGGCAGCTTCAGGGGGGTGTGTTGAAGGATGTGGGGCGTAGATGGAGGGTTAGGCAACCACAACAAGTTGTCGTCGTAAATTTGCTCTTTGTATTTACTTAAAGGTCGCCGCATTTCTTTTGTCTACCGCATGCCATTTTATGACAATTCGAACTGATTATACCCTGTACACAAATCAGTGCTTCAAATTGGGTATATTGAATATTAAGCTGTTGATTCAAGTAATTAGTATACATAATTTGTATAAAAATCTATTTTTGTCTGAGCATTACTTAATTAATTTATCTAATTCAATAACATATTCTCGATTTAAAGATGTTGTTACATCCTGAACAGCAAAAGTTAAAAATAAACTCAACCATTTTTTCTTTAATCAGGAATCAATTCTTTATTTGAAGTTTGACATTTTTTTCCATGTAGGCATCAGTAAATAAATTATTTAAAATATAAATCAGAGACCCATTTACAGGCCATCTTCTAGTTGAGCATTCTGTCTATTTGTAGTTGCTGCCTGCCTGCTGCTGGCCGTCATAATTTTATGCGGCAGACGATATCGTCGTCATTTTATGGTTTTGCCCAATCGATGAAAGTTTTACGATGCGCATTCGCATTGATTTTGCCAGCGGCTCAAAGTTCAAAGACGGCCAACACTTAAAGCCGAAGAAAAAATGACAGAAAAAAGTTGAAGTTGAATTTGAAATTGAAATTAAAGTTGAAGTTCAGAGTTCGTATTAATTAAGTTGCTGCCGCTGCTGCTGCTGCTCCTGTTGTTGCTCATGCATATGCAAGACTCAATTAAAAGTGCGCCAAGTAATAAAAAAAAGTGTAGACAAACAAACCGAAGACCTGAAGGTACTGGAAGACATGCCCCTGCCACATGCCGCGTTGCAAGAACGTGTCTGCAAGTGACTTGACTTTGGCGAGATGCTGCGTCTGCGGCCTTTTCTTCTGTTGACATTTTGCGGTATGGAAAAAATTAAATTAAAATGCAAATTAGACAGTCGTGAAAGACACACACACACTCAACATACACACAACCACACACACACACACATATACACAGTGCCTGCAATCCGGCCGCTTAACAACAACAGTGACAAATTGTTGTAAACAAAAATGTTGCCGCTGGTTGCGCATACGCCCAGTGGGACCGACCTCTTGACTTGTCAGTGTCACCTCTATCTATACAGTGCTGGCCAAACAAGTAGCACTATTATCAAAACAGATATGTTTGCAATAGTTAAGGGCGGCCAGAAAGCATTACAGTTCTCAAAAAAATATAGATATAAAAATAGAAGAAATAGATTTTTATGAGTAAGGCTCATTTTTGAACATCTAAACCTTAATACCTGTAGAAAGACCCAAAAAAAAAATTGGCCTTTTGACCGCAAGGCAAGTGGGACGTGGTCAAATCAAATCCACAGGGAAATGAATAAATATTTTATAGTCAGATGAAAGTAAGGCGTTCTTTTGTTAGGTGATGTATAACTCGCAATTCACTTGCAAAATTATTACACATTGAGCTTCAAATATATATCTAGAGTTTTTAAATTTTGTTTTGTTTTTCCATAAATTTTTAGTTTTTATTTCCTTATTTTCTAAATTTATTTTTGAGAAAGTAATAAATCAAGAATAGATTTAATCATTTTCATGCATAAAAGCTGTTTAAATTGGCTGATAAGAGCCACTGCCAAAGTTAGATTTTTATTGTGGTGCTATTTTATCTACCACAGCTGTATATATATACATATACATATATATATAGAGGCCCGGTTAAGATTTACACAGCTACCTATTGCCCCCTCTCTCCCTTCCCTTTCCCACTCCCTGCTGTCGCCTAGCGACTTAAGCAGAAGATGAATGTTTTCATTTTTAGGTGTGTTTTTCTTTTTTGGCTGGCTTTTCTAGCGGTAAATTATGCAAAGCAGTTACGTAATGCGCTTGTTACAATAATTTAATCTTGTAATCTGTTGCTGTTACGGTTTTCAGTGTGCGGCAAGTGCCATAAATAATTCAGCTGACTTGCTCTGCCTCGCCTTGCCACACTCGATGCGG